AAAAATTAATTTTGTGCAAAATTACATTGTTTTCTGGTTGATTTGAATTTATATCTAGATAAAACTTTATTTTTTTAATTATTTTTTTTTCGGTTTATTATTTTTGTTACTGATGATTTATTGTTTTAAGTAGAGTTTTAATTTTCTTCATATTATTTTCTTTTGTTTGTTGCAATTATATTAATGATTTTTTTTTTAGTCTTTTTTTTATTTAAAGAAATTATAAATATATGTATATAGATTATATATAATAAGTAATACTTCATTATAAATAATATCATTCGATGTTAATTTGATTTAAATAAATTAATCTATAGTAGATTCTAAAGAATTTATAGCTTCTTAAGTTAGTCCTTCATATGAAGACTACATGTTATCTAAAATTTATTTCTTTTAATTAATTGTTTCCTAATTTTTAATTTACGCTATATTAACTGAACTAAAACAATTATTATTAGCAGTAAACATATTGTTTAATTAAAATTATAACAAAGTAGCTAAATAAAAAATATATATATATATATATATATATATATATATATTTATATATATATATATATATATATATATATATATATATTCACATATATTAAATTTACTATTGTTATTTAATGATTCATTAAATTCATGTTTTTATATCGTTGATTAATCTTCATTAAAAAACGATAAATTTTATAAGTAATTTTCTTCCTATATTTTTAGGCTTGTTTTAAACATTTTTAAACATGCATTTTGTATAATTTCTAATTCTTTTATTTCATTTTATTTATTAAATTTTTTAATTAAAAATTCTTTAGATTTCATATCTAAAAACTCAGGTAAATTAATTTCATTTACATTTTCACCCATATTCTATAGTTAGTGTATTATCCAAGTAAGACCTTCTTCTCTATTGTCTTTTCCATGTTTTAAAATTTCATAATAAAAAAACTTTTTAGCTAAAATTAATTATTTAAAGTATTTTTTTTTTATTAAAATTTCATTTTCTATTTAATCGGATATTTGCTATATATATATAAAAATATATCTTATTTAGTAAATATAAAATAGAATTATAAATAAATATATATAAATATATGTATTTATATAAATAAATTTATTATTATATATATTCTTATAATATATTTATTTTACTTAATTTTAAATATATTTAATTTAAAATTTAACAAGTGAATCTTTTAAAATATTAATTTCTTATATTAATTCATTAATTAAATCTTAAATATTTTCAAAATTTTCAATTTATAATTACTTATTATTATTAATTTAATTTGAATTACTATTTTTATAATTAAAATTCTTATTTATATTTGTCTAGCTTTTTATTTATACTGTTTGTTTTTTAAAATTAAGATCTATAACACTTCCATTATATTTCAAACTATAAATACTTTCAGTATTTTATTTATATTAATTTTCTAATAATTGTTATTCTTTTTGGAGTTAATCTTTAATATTTTTTATTTAATTTATTTTTTTAAAAATAGATTAATTTTCTAATCTAATAATCCTTTAAGTATTTCCCTTATTATTAAGTAAATTATACGTATCTTTTTCTTTTTCCAATAAATTACTTTCTATTATACAGGATATCTTCTCAAAAGCTTTTGCCCTTTCTACTGCATTAAAATTATTATCACTTTCTGTATCTATTTAATAAAATGTTTAAAGTATTCTTCTTATTCCTTCAGGAGTTAAATCTTATTGAATTTAAAGATTTTCTTCTTAACTATCTATATTAGGAACTAATTTTACATATTTAATTATTTATTTTTTTAGATCTCGTAAATCATTTAAATTATCAACTTATTCATTTATTTTTGGAATTTATAACAATTCAGATTTATTTTAAAAACTAGATTTCATTTATGTATTTTTCGAACTATTATCTTCATATGTTTTTGAGTCATCCTTATATTTATTTATATAATATTTTTGTTTTTTTTTTGTTTTTTACTCTTTTATATTTTAAAACATCTTTAAATACAGATAATGATTTTTCCTTAAAATCACTATTTTTTCTAAATTCGCTATTTTTTCTATTTTTTTAAGTGTATTCGTCGTTTTTTAATAATACTATTTCGTCTAAGTTTAAATTCGGGAAATATTCTTAAGCAATTAAAAGTGTATTATTTCTTGTTTAATTTGCAAATTATTTCAAATTTTTTAAATTTCTTTAATTTGTTAAATTTGATTCAAATTAATCCTAAAAAATATATAAATAAAAATATATATATATTTAAATGTATATAAATAAATTAATATATATTATATAACAATTTATATATATTATTTTATTATTATTTATATTTAATATTTTTAATTTCTTTACATCAATTATAGAATTTTTCAAATTTTGATTTTTATTTGATTAATATTATTTTTTATTATTTCCACTTTATATATTTAATGATTATTATACATAATTTTTCTTTATACTTTTCGACCATTATTCAAGGTCATCTATTTAGCTATTTTCACTTATTAAATTATTTTAATATTTAGAATTTTCTATAGTAGTATTATATCTTCTTTACTTTTAAATAATAGGTAATTTTAATTCATTTTCATGTTCGAAATCTATATATTCTTCGAATTATTAATATCTTTTAGTTTTTTTTTTTAATTAATAGTTTTTTTATTTATTTTTTACATTTCATTCATTAAAATTTTATTTCCGGGTTATTTTCGCATATTTTTTAATATTTAATTTTCATATTTATTATATTAAGGTTTTTTGTATAGTTTTAGTCCTTTCATATTTCCTAATTCAAACAAATAACGCTTAGATTTATAATTGCCTAGTTTTTTTAAAATATGAGAATCTTTAGATTAATCATTTTTGATTATATCATAAAACTTTATCATATTAGTTTCATTTTATTCAATTTTTTTTTAAAGATCTTAACGAAGTTATTATTCTAAGTCGAAATTATTTACGTTTACTCTTATTATTTCTGAAAAATCCTTGATTGGAATGTTTAAATAGGATTTTATATCTTTTAATCGGCAAAATTTTTTACTTCTTTCTAATTTTTATTTTTCTTAAAAATGTTAATCAATCATTAATAATTTTTTTTATAAGTATTTTAATTTTTTAAATAAAATAAAATTTAATAATTGATTTTTTACCTTAAAAACAATCAAAATATTTAGTAAAAATAAAATATAAATAGATATATAATAAAATAATATTTCTAAATAAATATTTTAAAATATTCTTGTGTAATATATTATATAAAAAAAAATTTTAAATAATCCTAAAAAAATAAAAATATATTACAAATATATATATATATATTTATAAATATAATTAAATAATTATTTATATATATATAAAATAATTAACATTAGAAATAAATGTATTAATTTAAATATAAAATAAAAATTATTATAATTTAATTAATATTTTTTATGTTTTTAAAATAACAAAAAATCTAATATTTAATAATTAAAAATAGAAATATAAAATTATTTTTTTTAAAAAAAAATTAAATTTATTTTATTAATAAAAAAAAAATCAAAATAGAGTAAATAATATATATAAAATATATATATATTAAAATAAAAAAAATCATTTTTTCCAAATTTTTAACTTTTATAAATTTTAAAGGCGCTTTTAATTCAATTTTAATTTCATGTTATACCTTTCCTTAATTTTCTTTTATTTCTTTTATTTTGACCTAACATCCAATTTCTTTTGCATATTAAAGGAATTTTTTTGGTTCAATTTTAATTGCCTAAGCCAAAGGTGCTGCATCAAAATGGAAATCGAATATAAATAAAGCCAAGACAATAATATAGGAGATAAGTTTATCTTTTAATAAATCAGGTCTTTGATAAATGATAATATTGCCATTTTATGTTGCTTAATAGAAGTTTTTTAGAATATTTTTGAGGAAAACCGCCGGAATATGTATTTCATTAGAAATATTTTCTATAGTACTTCCCTATATTTTATATTTAAATAAAGCCTTTATTAAAAATTCTAAATAAAAAATATTTTTTTCTATATTATTTTGATTATTTCTTCCTCCGAAAATATTACTGAAATTATTGAGTAAATTTTTGCAATAAAAAGAAATGTTTTAAATCTCGTTTTTAGAAATTTCGTTTAAACTGCGTTATTCTTCAGGTAATATTATGGAATTTATATTGTAAATTTAAGCCCTGTTTTTTGTCTCAACGTCGAATTCTGGCAAAAAATCTCGCTTTGATTAAATTTCGATTTCATGTTATATTTTTTATGAATTTAACGCTTATTCTTCGATTTCATTACCTTTTTCTTGTAATTAATTTTAAGTCCTTATGATAGGTTTTATTCATGGACTACGTTGTTTAATTATTGTTAGACTTTTCTTTTACTTTTTGATGTACCCATGGTTTCGGCTAATTGGAGTTTTTATTCGGTTAATGTTAGGCTACTTTTGGCTATATTAGAGGTTATTTATTCACTTTTTAATTCCTTTTGTGTATATTGCTCCAGTTTAAATAATTTATCGACTTAAAATAATTTTAGAGTGTCATTTTCACCTTCAATTCCTATAAAATATTAAGAATATTAATGATCTAAGGCTTTTCCTAGTATTTCTACTTGATTAGTTGAAAGGCGTAAAATTTGCTTTTTCTTGCCTTTATCTTATTCTTGGATACGAAATTTATGCTTTTCATCTGAAAACTCCTTTATTGAAGGAATATTTTAAGAAAAAGAGGCTAAATATGGACCTTTTTAATAAGATTTTTTAGGTATAATTTATAATTCAGTCATTATAAGTATTTTTTTATATATAAATATATATATTTTTTAATTTTGTATTTAATTTATTTTATTCTAATATATGTAAATATAAAAATAAATAAAACATATTTTTATAATTATTATTTTTTCAATTTATTTATTTTTTATTTAAATATGTAATTTTTATGCAAATAAAATTTTTATATAAAATATCATCACAATAAATTTATATGAATAAAGATCTAATTGTATAAATTGATTAGTTTATGATGTACGTTTGATTTTTCAATATATATTTTCTTTTTAATACTACAAATAACTACAAATACTGAATAAACTATCTTTTTAATATAGTAATATTTTTTATAATTATTTGAAATGTTTATTTTAATTTTTTTAATATAAAATACTAATTTTATTAAAATAAAAATAGAGTATATAATTCCTATTGAAAATCATTATTATAGTTAAAATAGTTGAAAAAATAAATATTTATGTATTTATGTCTTTATGTTTTTATATTTTTATAAAAAAATCAAACATATTCGAAAATCATTATTTACTAATATCCTAGCTAATTTAAGAAGATGATTTTATAAGTTATCATATTTTATAAAATCAAATTAATTATTAAAATTTAAGTTAATCTTACTTATAATAAGGTATATTTTTTGAGGAGGAGCTATATATTTGAAATATATAAACTCTATTATTAATTTAATATTGTGTTTTGTGAAAAATTATATTCTGGAATTATTTGAGTATTTATTTATGTTGAAAATGATTATAACAAGTTAAAATATCTTTATAATAATTGTTTTTATAAAAATGTTTTTAATATAAGAAGAAAGTATAATATTATATATATATATATATATATATATATATATATATATATATATATATATATATATATATATATATATATATATATATATATATATATATATATATATATATATATATATATATATATATATATATATATATATATATATAATAATATATATATA